ATTATTGTTGTTGTTGTTATGTGCCATCGAGTCGCTTGCGACTCATAGCGACCCTATGTACAACAGCCCTAAATTCTGCTCTATCTTGTGCCAATCTCACCGTCTCTGCTACACCCATCCTGATTACCCCAGTCACTGAATCAATCCACCTCATAGGGGGGCTTCCCTTTCTGTGCTGTCCCTCCACCCTCCCAAGCACGATGTCCCTCTCCAAGGACCTGTCCCTCCTTGTAACATGTCCAAAGTATGTTATACGGAACCTTAGAATCCTTGTCTCCAAGAAGCAGCCCGGTTTGACCCTTTCCAGGACAAATCTGTCTGTTTTCCTAGCAGTCCATGGTACCCTCAATACTCTTTTCCAGCACCACAGCTCAAAGGCATCAATTCTCCTTCTATCCTCCTTAGTCATTGTCCATCTCTCTAATGCATAACAAGTGATAGCAAAGACCATGGCCTGTATCAGATGCACCTTAGTCTCCAAAGAGATACCATTGCTCTTCAGTACTTTGGAGAGGTCCCTAACAGCAGACTTTCCATGGCAATACGTCTCCTAATTTCCCAAACTTCTGTTTCCTATGTTCATAACATAGCTCCTCATAATGTTGTACCAGTATCAACTTGCCCTGATCCAGTAAGTGACTTCCTCTGTCCCTATAGCAGTGGGGATCTTCCTCAGCAGAAACTGTCCCTTCTTAAGCATCATGACTATTTTGATTTTCCCCCCCCCATCATCCTTGCCATTTATTTTTCCCCTACTAGTTTATTTACAAAATTAGAATACAAATTTGAACAAATTCTTTCATTTTCCCTCACCCACCCACCCATCAAATTGTACAACCCAATGATTAATCTCCCCTTCCTCCCTGCACATCCACATCCCTGTGCTTCCAGCCTCTCCCACCCCTCCTGGATCCTTACACTCACTCTACAATAACAGTCTTATACAATATTTATCCTTATGTTACTGAATTAGTTCACTCAGCATAATGCTCTCCAGTCCCTCCCAAGTTAGGTAATAATTTACAAAGTTGCTCCTGTGTCCTGTATAGTATTCCATTGTGTGAAAGTACTATCTTTTCTCAATCCATGCATTTGTGGTTGGACATTTGGGCTGTTTCCATGTTCTTGCGATGGTGAATAATGCTGCTATAAACATTGGTGTACAGATCTCAGTTTGTGCCTCAGTTCTCATATTCTCAGGGTATATTCTCAGTGGAATAGCTGGGTCATATGAAATTTCTATGTTTCTTTGAGGACTTGCAAAACTGCCTTCCAGAATGGTTGCACCATTTTACAATCCCACCAAAATGTATAAGAGTTCCTTTCTGGCCACATCCTCTCCAGCATCTATTACTTGCTGCCCTGTTAAACCTTGCCACTCTTACTGGAGTGAGATGGTACCTCACTGTAACTGTCACATAATTTTCTGACATTTACTTGTATTCTTCTGCTTCTGGTGGTAGGGAGGAGAGAGTTGGTGAGTTTCATTTAATATTCCTATCCGTGGTAGTTCTTGATACATTATTTTTTTAGGAGCACTTTGTGGAATTAAGTTCTATGGACCCTGGAGAAGGAAGTGGAGACACAGGCAAACTTAGCCAAGTCTATCAATAGTTATCTAATTCTCTTTATAGAATCAACAAATATTTAAACAGAGAGCAATACCAATGGTTCAATGGAAATAAAAATTTCTGTCTGTTACAGGCTCCCAGAATTAACAATTGATGAGATTCTGTTCTAGTAGCTTCTATTATTTTTAACTGATAAAATAATATTTATACAGAAAGCATTTCCATTTTAATGTCCTCTGAAAGAAGTGGCATTTTAAATGTGAATTATCGCCTAGGTATGGTTTTATAGTATTCAGTTGTATATATCTCTGTATATATGTGCATGTGTATAGCATGTACATATATGTAAACACAAATGTGCATAAAATATATGTACATGTGTGTTTTTCTTTGTATGTAGTGTAAACATGTATGTGTGTGTGCATGCCTGTATGTACCTAAGTACCCATATTCACATACACACATACACATGTACAACACACACACACACACTCTCATAAATTGAAGAAAATAGAAGTATACATAGATAGAGGACAATAACCATAATAATTGTCAGTTATGGAATGATTACCTAAAAGACCTAATTCGTGATAAAATTATATACATGAATACTCAATTCTAGCTAAAATGAACAAAACAAGAAAATATAACAACACTTATTTTAGCTTTCAACTAGCAATAATCGTGCCTCGGATAAATCTCACTGGCTACAATATTGCCACTGCTCAAAGATTCACATTTATTTTAAAAATCTTATTAAGAGAGTCACTTGTAAATTAGTATCTACAGTTTGATTCTGTTTATGTTAAGCTTTAAAATACAAAATGTAATTTTATAGAACAATAGAAAATACAGTAAAAATATAGATAAATAATGATGTCAAAATAATTTACTGCTTAGCCTTGATGAAGCTAACAATCAGTATTGTGCAAAAGGCATTACGTGGGGAGCTTCAAATATATATATATATATACATATATTTATTAGTATTGCTCTGTGGGTTTTATCACCACGTTCCATAAAATGTCTAGTTGAAGCCATACAATGACTGCTGCAATGGACTCTAATGTGTCAGGAAGTGTGAAGATGGCACAGGATAGGACAAGGTTCAGATCTGTTGTTCATAGGGTTACTATCAAGTCTTAATTGACTCCACAGCACCTAACAACAATGCATCAAGTGTCCATGTCGTCTTATCTGTTCCTTCACATCTCTATCTGTCCACTAATCTGTGCTGTCCTGGTCAGATTTCTCTCTTTTGCTTCTTCTGTCATTCTTCTCTCCTTTCCCTTTCCCTTTTGAATACCCCTCTTGTTTTTATTTGCTAATTGCAGTAGCTTTATTGTCCTTAGGCAGCATTTCACATCTCTGAAAGATAGTGTACGTTTTAAATTTTTTTTATTATGTTAAACATATATACAATGTTGTTGTTGTGTACCAGAATTGAAACCAATCCATAGTTGACCAGTCAGTGAGTTTTCAGAGGCAGGTAAATGCATGGGAGGAGACTGCCCATTCTTCTCCTGTAGAGCAGCTGGTGGCCTAGAACCAGGTTCCTTTGTGATTGCAGTGTAGCTTCCATATATGCAATAAACGTGTACTATCTACATGCAGGTAAGTGATACTGATTATACATACACGTACAGCCATTGTCACTATGTTTTTCCAAATTAACCCACCATTATATTTTTATTGAAACTAAACAAGTCCATTTCAAGTTCTTTGTATTATGCATTTTGCAAGATATTATTTTTCTCTCTTCCCAAGGAAGTTGATATGAATTATTTCATTACATATTTTACAGGAGGACACATCCAAAACTCTTTTTAGCCAAAACTCTCTCACTATCCTGTAACCACAAATAAACTTTGGTTTCCATATATTGGCATATTTTATGTAAGTGACATCATACAGTATTTTTTCCTTTTGTCACTGCCTTATTTTACACAGCATCATCTAAGTATATTCAAATGGAGCAATGACAGCCCCATGACTAAGCACACAGTTGCTAACTAATTAATAGGTTAGTAATTCTAATGCATAAATTGTTTCTCTGGAGAAAGATGTGGCCGTCTGCTTCATCAAAGATTACAGTTCCAGAAAGCCCATGGAAGAATTTTATTCTGTTCTATAGAACAACATGTGTGAGAATCAACTTAATGGCAACAGTATTCCTTTGCATGTAAGTAATTGTTCACCATCAGGTCAGAATCAATTCATACCAGACTCACTAGTGGATTTTCAGAGGCTTTAAATCACACAGGAGGAGACTGCTAATCTTTCTCCCACAGAACAGCTGGTGGATTTGGACAGTACCTTAGTGTTGACAGCACAACTTCTTGCCAGTAGACCACCAGAACTCCCTTGCCTGTGAATAAAATATATTTACCCATTCATCAGTTGAATACTTACGCTGTTTTCATCCTTGAGCTGGTGTCAAAAATACTGTAAATAACATTGGTATTCAGGTTTCTGTTTGCGTTCCCAATTCCATTCCTTCAGGGCATAAATCTAGCACAGAGATTGCTGGGTTCTGTGGTAATTTCATATTAAGTCTTTTGAAGGAATGACTAACTATTTGCCGCATAAATTGCATTCTTTTTCATTCACGTAAGAATGGATGAGGTTTTAAATTTATCCATACCCTCTGTAATACTTACTATTTTGCTTTCTGTTTGTGTTACCGTGTGTTTTAAGAACTTCCCCCTTTGTTTTTCTTTGCTTTCTTAAAAAGGTATTGTTATTATGTGTTATTTGTTTCTATGATTGTCATACTAGTAGAGGTGAAGTGATATGTCATTGTGGATTTGAGGGAGAATTTTTTTTGTAGTATTTATTTATTTTAAAATTTATTGTTATTAATGAAAATTTACAGAGATTATAGATTTCCATTCATTCATTGTTGTACTTTTCTCTCTCTCCACCCCTGCCCTCCCGTTCATTCTTCTCTTTGAAAAGTAAAAGAAAAATTCTTTCATTGTTATACAATTCCTCCCTCAAGTCCACTTCACTGTGCAGCCTGGATTCCTATCATGACAGTATTACCTAATCATATATCCCTTTTAAACAGTTCTCTCCTCCATCTGTTTCAATGCAGTATACATAATTTACCCCATCTTTCTCAGTCTCTCCCCAACCCCTATGTCAGCCCTGCTTTACAACAGTGGCGCTATGCAGTATTTTAATATTTATCTCGATTCATAAGATAGGTGATAACATTATCCCAAAGAAATGGTTTTCAAACTTCAGCATACATCGGAATTACCTAAAAGACTTGTTAAAACATAGAGTGCTGACCTTCACTCTAGAGCCCATATAAGTCACTCTGGAGTGGGTCCCAAGAACTTTCAGTGCCAACAGAACCCCAAGCTATATTCTCCTTGAGCCTCTGAAAGTCACACACTTGGTTATCTGTCACTACACTTTTCCATCAGATTTTCCAGCAATATGGAAGCCAGAAATCACACAGAAGTTTCAAGATTTCTTCTTCTTGGACTGACAAGCAACTCAGACCTGCAGACTACCTTCTTTATCCTGTTCCTTTTCATATACTTGGTCACTCTTCTGGGAAACTTACTCATCATATTGGCTGTCAGTTCTGACTCCCAGCTCCATACTCCCATGTATTTCTTTCTAACCAATCTATCCTTTAATGATATCTGTTTAAGCACAAGCACAATTCCAAAGATGCTGGTGAGCCTCCAAACACATAATCAGAGCATCACTTACCTAGGCTGTCTCGCTCAGGCCTGCTTTGTAACAATTTTTGCTGGTTTAGAAAATTGTCTCCTTGTTCTAATGGCCTATGACCGCTATGTGGCCATTTGCCACCCATTAAGGTACACAACCATCATGAACCCCTGCTTCTGTAGCTTTCTTTCCATACTTTCTGTATTAATTAGCATTCTGGATTCCCTGCTTCACAGTCTGATGATGCTGCGTCTTTCCTTCTGCACAAAACTGGAAATCCCTAATTTTTTCTGTGAACATGCTCAGATTCTCAACCTTGCCTGTTCTGATACTCTCATCAACTACATCCTCATATATTTTATGATGATTGTTTGGGGTGGTGGGAGTGCCTCCGGAATAATTTTCTCCTACATTCAAATTGTCTCTTCTATTTGGAAAATACCGTCAGCGAGGGGGAAATACAAAGCTTTCTCCACCTGTGGATCTCACCTCTCAGTTGTTTTCTTATTCTATGGAACATGCTTTGGTGTGTATATCAGTTCTGCACTGACTCATTCTTCCAGTAAGACAGAAATAGCTTCGGTGATGTACGCTGTGGTTCCTCAAGTAATGAACCCTTTTATCTACAGCCTGAGGAATAAGGACATGAAGGAAGCCCTGAGGAAAGTCATTATTAGGAAAACACTGTTTTAGTAAATGTGCCATCTGTTTGGGGATTTTGACTCAAAGGTGGGTAAGAATGGAAAAAGACTGCAGAGCAAGGATATTTGGTGGCCTCATCAATAAATTGTGCTCAACTGACTAAATAACATGGCGTCTTGGTGCATTTCCAATTATTAATGATAAAATGAAGAGCTCTGGTGGCTTAACGGTAAGGTGTTTTGCTGCAACCCGCCTCTAGTGGCTTAGTGGTAAGATGTTGCACTGCAACCCTAAGACACATGGTTCAAATTCACCAGTTGCTCTGCAGAAGAAAGATAGGCAATCTCCTCCTATGCAATTTGCTGTCTCTAAAATCCCTTTGGAGGGTCATCTATGAATCAGTTTCAGTTTGAGGTATACAATAGTAACAGCAGTGATAAAATGTCCTATTGGTAAGGAGCTGTGCCACCAACCCAGAGGCTAGTGGTTCAAGTCAACCAGCTGCTCTAAGAGGGAAAGTTGGGCAATCTCTTCCCACAAGATGTACAGTCTCTGAAAACCCCCTGAACATCAGCTCTGATTTGGTTCCAGTTTGATGGCACATAGCAAGAATTATGAAAGGAGAAAGTGTTGAATTTGTCAAGGATTTGATTCTACTTAAATCTACCAACAACAACAACCATGGAAGCATGAGTCAAGCATTCAAAGAACATATTGGATTGGATAATTCTACTGCAATAACTTCTCCAAAGTGTTAAAAAGTAAAACAAAAATGGGGCCTTTGATAAATGAGATATACCTAAAATAATGCATAATATTTTCAGTCACCTCATATAAATGCAAAAGCCAGACAATCAATAAGATATGCCTTTGAATCACAGTGTTAGTGAATAATATTGAATATGCCATGAAGGATTATGAGAATGAACAAATAAGTTAGAGTGGCAGGTGTACAGACAGAATTCTCTTTAGAAATGAGACTGTTGAGTTTAACTTAACTATTTTGAACACATTGTCAAAAGTAATTCATTCCTAATGATGGACATTGTAGTTTATTGTGTATTATTCAAAATGGCTTTCCTAGTCATTGACTTTGGCTTTGCTATGTGGGTGGGTGGGAATATGTGAATAGGGTATGTTAAACTATCCTCAAGGGAGGTAGCTAGTCTCACTACTAAATTGAGCAGATTCAGCAGCAGATTTTAGGAATCTTAACACTAGCAAAAAAAGAAGTAGAGCATGTAGAGTACATGTCCTTCGGAACTAAAGATACCTATGCCTCTCAGACAAAGGTCCACAGGAGCAGCAGCTGTGGCCACAGCAGAAAACCCAAGAGCTGACATGATACAGAGCTGACCTTAGGACTGCTATCCCATGGAACCAGAGCTAAGAATCTTTGCTCAGGCTTGCTGGAGGACTGAAGGGAGGAGCCATAATTTGCAGGACTAACAGCTTTGTAACACTGGCCTAAAGCTATAAGGATGAAAGCTGAGGTGTCTGTGAGCACATTTCGGCAGCTGTCCTGACTGATTATATCATGCTAGCAACAGGAATTATAGACATTTGACTTCCCTAATAAATCTAATTGTGAATATGGTTCTGTGTGTTCTATAAATTATTGCAATGTATTTTGGACCTAGTAGAGCAGTAAGATTGGTGTTAACATGTGTAGAAAGAGGTACGGGAGCATGGGGGAACATGTCTTACCTTATCAGAATTAGATTCTGATGGTGGGGACAATTCCCTTCTGTGGAGTTATTACACATCAGTTTTGGCCATCCCCATGTGGTCCTTTTTCCTTTTACAGGCACTGAAACCGTTATCTAATGATGATATAACAGAGATACCATAACAGGATCTCAGGCCTGTTTTTCATTGTTTTTGTTCATTCTTCTAGGTTGTATAGCCCTGGTATATCCACTTGCCCTACAGCAGTAACATGTGGTTGCTGTGAACCTAAATACTCTGACACTGATGTGGTATCAAATGTGTTAATGGTTACCCATGACGGACAGTGTTTGGTGGAGTTTCCCAATTAGAACAAGCTTGGAAGCAGGAGTGGCATCCGCTTCCATAATAGCTGGTAACTCTATGAACTTGGAAAAAGGATGAAAATCACACAAGTATTGAGGACTTTTGTTCACAGGGTAGCTATGAGTCACCTACAACTCGACAACACTTAACAACAACAACAACCATAACAGGAATCTATTTTTTTTTTTTTTACAGTTTAGATGACTAGACATACAGTTTAGAGTAACTCCTCCAAGGAAAGATTTTTCTGTGTATCCTGGTGTCGGGAATCTCTTATTGTAGGGACCTGGGTCTAAAGCATATCTACTACATTTTTGTTGCTGATTGTCAGTGAGTCAAGCATGACTCATAGTGACCCTATGAACAAAAGGCCTGAAGCATTTCTAGAACTATGGTTGTTTCTCTAAGTTCATAGGGTTTCCAAAAGCATGTAGTTTAGAAAGTGGATGCCACTCCTGCTTCCAAACCTGTCTCAAACTGGAATTCCACCCAACACTGTCCATCATGGGCAGCCATTAGGCATTTGACTCCCCAGTGGCACAAGGTTCATCATCACAGCAAACCCAGATTACCTCAGTACAGCAAATTGACAGAAGAGTTCTGCATAATTTAGAAGAATGTTCCTCCAAAATAAAATAACAGTGGGCCCTCAGGCCCAACTGACTTTTAAATACAAGGGCTCTCATGCCCACGATTGGTAGCCACTATGGTGTTTGACACATCGATGGCACAGTTGTTCAACATTACAGCAACTCCAAGTTACTTCAGTACAGCAAATAGACTAACCATTGCTGTGCCATCAGCTTTTGGGCATGCCTGAATTTAAGAATGCGTTAGTGCTTAGCTAAGTCTTCAGAATGATGTGTCATGTGAGCTGCAAGATGTCTTCTTGCGTCTTGATGAGGGTCATGTATGCAAAGTTTGGTGGGGTTTTTTTAGCTTTATTTTTATCCACAAGAGTATTGGACTTGCCAGATGGACTGGACGTCTCTGGTTTTATAGTCCATCAGCATTTGGGTGTGCCTGAATTTAAAAATGCAGTAGCACTTTGGATAAGACTGATGACTCCTGTGAATTGGTTTGATGTTGGAAGCCGTCTTCCTATGGCCCTAGGGCCAAATGTTAATTGCCTTTGGGATGAAAAGTCTTTTAAGTGGTATGGCAGTGGTCCACTACATTACTGAACGCTTTTTTCTTGTTAATGCTGAGATCTCCTCTGCATGGTTCCCCCCCCCCTTTACTCTCTGATAAGATAAAAGATATTGCAGGTCACACATCAGGGAAACCTCCATTATGTTGAGTCATTTTTAAAGATGGGATTAGTCTTCTTACTACTGTTTGGAGTATCAGGTTATGAAGGGTCATTACACAACTTGCACACTATGTCATTATATTCACATATTTTGGGGGGGCACAAACTCTTGATAAACATTATGCTTGGTAAAGGAGAAGGTCAGTAAAAAAAAATCTTCATTGAGATGGATTGACAGCATACTAAAATCAGGCACATGTTAGTCTCTTCCCCCACCCCCCGACTTTATTTTTATTCTCTATTGATTTGCATACAATATTTGTTGTCAACCAAGGGTAGAAGAAAAGAGACAGGACACCAAGAATGTATAAGAAGACAGAGAAGTAAAGCAGGAGGCAAGCAGTTCAAACAACTGAAGCACCAACTTCAGCTTCCCTGTGCCTTTATTGAAAATTGCCAGGGAGCAAATCACAAAGATGAATCTATGCAAATGAAGCTAAGCTCTTTCTATTTAAAACCTTCTGCTTGACTCAGGAGGGAGAGGTTAGCAAATACAATACAAGAATTGTGTAAATGCTTAAGGTCTGCCCTAGTGCTTAATTTCTGTGAACACCTAAGATTTGCCTTGGTGCTTCAGGGTGAATTCCAGGTTATATCTGCATCTCCCTCACATCCTGATAAAGCATTTGATTTATCATTAATATTTAGTTTGAAATTTGGCTTCCCACAAATATTCATATACACTGTGTATCATTCATGTATATTGTGTTTCACACATTCCTACACTCACAGTGTGTTTCAAAGGATCCCCCATGCACATTGGGTTTTAGAAAATGAATCACCATTAATCTATGCCTACTATTGCAAATGAAGATCCTATGGATGGCCAAAAGGACAAACTGATACACCTTGGAGAGGGTGCATATAACAAACAACAACAACAACAACATTGAGCAGGCCCCAATGCACAGCAGCCTGTGTACAGAAAGACAAAACCTGCCAGGTTGTGTATCATTCTCATAGCCTACACCACAATCAAGTTTATTGTTCTAGTCATTGTGTCAATCCATCTACTTGTGAGTCTTTTCTGTCTTTTGCTAACTTTTAACTTCTCCAAACATAATGCCCTCCTCTAGAGACCTTTACATCCTGGGTGTTTGTTGTTGTGTGCCTGTAACTCGTAGTGACCCTATTTACCACTACTCTAAATAATACCCTAACCTGAGCCAGTTTCACAGACTCTGACACACCTATCCCCTTTACCTCAGTTACTGTGTTAACCCATCTCATACATTTTCCTATCCTGTGCCGTCCCTAATCTTCCAAGCATGGTGTCTTTCTCTAAGGGCCTGTCCCTCCTGGTCATGTGCCCAGAGTATGTGAGATGGAGCTTCAAAATCCTAGCCTCCGAGGAGAAACTTGATTTCATCCTCTCCAAGACAGTCATGCCTGTTCTCTTGCCAGTCCATATGCACTAAATATATGAGATAAGGGCTCATATGCTTTTTTTCTCTTTTTTTAT